ACAGCCTGTCACAGAAATATAAGAATTCGGCGGTGGTTCGTCCACCCGGAGGCACTCCAACGCTCAAATCAGTAATCAAATATCTTTCAAAGGTAGCAAATTGAGCTTAACTCACAAAAAAAAAAGCTTATTGCTCATAGTATATCACATATACCTGAGACCTACAGGGGTCCCCTGCTTTTATAGCCAGCACTGACCTGATTCCTGTAGAAGCCTCACGTCAACGGGCTCACGCTCAATGCTCATCCTGAACTCTCAGCTAGATAGGGATAAATTCTCTAAGAGCTTTATCTTTATCTAGATTGAGATCCTCTCCTATTCTAGGACTCTTGCCCCTTATCTGCTTATCTCAGATTCCGGTATATTCGTAGATAACCTCGGCCTAGTCGAGATAATATCGGCATCAGGACCAGGCCATGTGACACCTCGGCTGATACTTTGACGTCACATTGGCCATGTGCTGTCATTTACAAAATATGTCCCCACATCTCAGCTTCAGGCCCCGATCAAGTATAAGTACACACATAAATATCACAATCACACATTTGGAAAATATACTGTAAAATAGATTTATAAAACACATCGATAGTCTTTTTATGATATATTGTAAAATATGTTTATAAAAAATAAAGTTAATCGGATATCAATAGTCTTTTTATCAAAACACATTTGTATTGAAAAAAAATAAATGGTAAGTGTTGTTTTAAATATAAAGATGAATATAAATATAATTTGAGTAAAGAGTTAACAATTTTTTATTAACATAATTTTTTACAGGTATGTACTCCAAAAAATAAATGGTTCGAATCATCAAAATAAGACCCAAAGTGAGCCTCATCGAGCGCACAATAATGACTATTATGCTTTATGCACAACAGGTACCCAATTCCACAAAATAATACAAACTTATCATTTTAAGATAAAATTCTTTTTTAAAATGGCATTTATTAATTACATAAATGTCAATGTATTTGCACCATATTTTATTTTTCTGTTGATTGTGACTTATTAAATATGGTTAAGTTCAATTATGATCTGTCAATTGAAACCTTTTCGAAGAATAACCTTGACCACATTTGTTTTTATTAGTATTATTTATGTCGATAGGCATGCAAACGTGGCATGACAGATGTGTTAAGGACGTGACATAATGACATATTAAATGGAAGGCCAGAAAGTTGGCAATTGTAGCAATTTGAAAGTTAGTTGTTGAGATCAAGGAGCTAAGATCAAATCAAGCACCAAATCTGCAAAATGATTTTTATCAAACTTGGGATATGGATAATGTTGAGTAAATCATAGGCTTGTTGAGAAAATCATGGGCTTAGGTTATCTTTTTTTCTCATGTGGTTGAGCTTATAAATAGGCTAGGAGAGATACAAAGAGGCATCAATCAATCATCTCAACCACCATTCACAAAACGTGATATTTATCTAGAAGTAGTTTAACTTAGCAATTGTTAAGAGTAGATTAGTAATAGCTTTTTCCAATCCCTATTTCTCTTCTTTCTGTCGATTGCTTTATTTTTCATTTCTTTGTTCTTGTTTGAGTTATTGTAGCTGATAACAAGTGACAATTAAATTGAATAAATACATATTATTTTTCTGTTCAAATCCTTCTTTACGTAATTACCTCCAGGGAAGTCCTTAATTTGTTTAAGACATAGGACTTAACCACAAAGTCTGATCATTTTTGTATTTATTTAAAATCAGTTAAAACCTGTCAATCAATTATTGTCGATTGGGCCTAAACTGAATTTTTGTTAACATAAATTGGTACGCCCAGCGGGACCGTTCTAACTTGGAGTGATGATGATGAAGAAGCAAATTTATCCTTATGGAATCATGCCTTTAGTAGGTATTCTTACATCTTGCGCACCCATGGATACAAACCGCCAATGGAGTGGCACTGTTCCCATGGATACAGATTATCAGTGGAATGTCTCATATTCCGAAAACTGTCAGTGTTATGGTGGTGGTTCTACTACTTATTATCAATATAATGGCATGACAAATGATGTAAAAAGAATGATTTGACATTGTGAAGATGAAATTTATTAGTTCGAGAGTGAAATTTTAGCCCTAAAAGAAAAAATTAATTATCTTTATAGGCAAAGATTTCAAATAATTTCATCATCTCCGTATTATTTGACATAAAGAGATTTAAATTACTGTGATGAAAATATTCATTGATTTAAAGGCCAAATTTTTTTAATTGATGAAGAAATTCTATTTCGGAAGCAAAAATTAGAAGGCATAATGGCAAATGAAAAATTAAGATATGAAAATAATATGGCTCATACGGTTAATACACATATTTTTTAAAAGCTAATCATTAATGAAGAGCCAAGGTATGTGGCTCAAAAGATTAGTACACCAAGTCATGAGGATAATATGACTTTGGAGAATTTTCATAGGACATTAATGGTTAAAATTAAAAAACAACTCATTCTCTCAAAAAATATTGAGAATTCTGATGATAAAGGTTCACTTGGAAGGCATGATGTTCTGCCAAACGTGGCAAAAAGTGGCAAGCTATTAATGGTTAAAAAAGAAGAACAACTCATTCTCTCAAAAAATGTTAAAAAATTATCACAAAATGATGGTAAAAATTCACTTGGGGGCATGATTTCATGATAAAGGTTTACTTGGAAAGCATGATGTTCTGCCAAATGTGACAAAAAGTGACAAGCTATTAATGGTTAAAAAAGAAGAATAACTCATTCTCTCAAAAAATGTTAAAAAATCATCACAAAATAATGGTAAAAATTCACTTGGGGGCATGATTTTAAGCAAAAAATGGCTAAAAATTATGAACCCACATTTATTGAATGTGAATATTTTCAAAATGTCAAAATTTATGTGAGTTTTGGGATCCAACATCCTCTTTGGATTTGTGGATCATACCAAAAATTAATTTTCATGGCATGGTTGGAAAAACAACAATGATTGAGAAATGCTATATGTAGTGAATTCTCTTTAATTAGTCAAAATATGACTAACAGAGAATTGTTTTACTTTTAAAAATAAGGGATGTGACTCTTTGTTATGTTACTCAACAGAGCCAAAGATGTAGGGTGTGTTTGGTTTGTGTTTGTAGTGTAGTTTTTGAGATAAAAAGAATGAAAACTTATTTGGTTTGCTTTTTTCATAAATGGTTTTGAAAAATTATTTTGGGGAGAAAGTTTTAAAAAAAATGATTGATTTGATATGTGTGAGAGAGTGAGTGATTTTGAAAAGTAAGTAACCAAACAAAATTTTTAGATTTTTTTTTGAAAAAATTTGTTTGGTTTGATTACTTTTGAAAATTTGTTTGTAGAGAATTTTTTCCAAAAATTTTTCTGAAAAACAAACCAAACAAGGCCGTAGTGTTCTCCAATCGATAGTGATAGATTAAAAATTACTATGGGTGTCATATAACTCTTTAATAATTTGAATTATTTGCACCATAAAATATTTTATGTCGATTGTGATAAACCGCCCTATAAATTATTTAATTGGATTTCATTATTCAATCCATTTAAATAGGGGGCATTGTTTGTACCATATTTTATTTTTCTATCGATTGTGACCAATTAATTATGGTCAAGTTCGATTATGATTTATCGATTGAAATCTTTTCAGAAAATAACCTTGACCACATTTGTTTTTATTATTATTATTTTTGTCGACAGACATTCTAACGTGACATGACAGATGTACTAAGGACGTGGCATGATGACATGTTAAATGGAGGGTCAGAAAGTTAGCAATTACATCAATTTGAAAGTTAGCTGCTAAGATCAAAGAGTCAAATCAAATCAAGCACCAAATTTACAAAATGGTTCTTATCAAACATGGGATATGGATAATATTGAGGAAATTATGGACTTGTTAAGAAAATCATGGGTTTAAGTTATCTTTTTCTCTCATGTGGCTGAACCTATAAATAGGTCAGGAGAGATACAAAGAAGCATCAATCAATCATCTCAATCACCATTCACAAAACGTGATATTTATCTAGAAGTAGTTTAACTTAGTAATTGTTAGGAGTAGATTAGTAATAGCTTTTTCCAATCCCTACTAATCTTCTTTCTGTCGATTGCTGTATTTTTCATTTCTTTGTTCTTATTTGAGTTATTGTAACTGATAGCAAGTGACAATTTAATTAAATAAATACATATTATTTTTCTGTTCAAATCGTTCTTTACATAATTACTTCCAGGGAAATCCTTAATTTGTTTAAGGCATAAGACTCAACCACAAAGTCTGATCACTTTTGTGTTTATTTAAAATTAGTTGAAGCATGTTGATCAATCATTGTCGATTGGGGCTGAACTGAATTTTTGCTAACACAATGCCACACCATTCAAATGGCAAATTTTGCATAAAAATTAAGTTATATCAACCAATCTTGGAGTTTAGAAAAAATAAAATAAGTCCAACAAATTTAACATAATTATATAAAATTTCATTTTAAGTGTAATTATGTCAAATTTACAATATATTTATTTATTTATTTTAGTGTAGCTTATTCTAAAAATTAGGTGCGTCATTTTCATGTCTTTATTCTACAATAAACTATCTAAACACAAATGATAGTAAACAAATCAAATGGTGCATCTACCTCCATCATCATTTAAAAATCATCAGTATCATTCTTTATGCTGTATTTGATTGAACAACTTAAGGAATAATTTGGAAAGAAAAAAAAAAAAAAAAAAGGGAGTTTGACTGTATAATATATATATATATATATATTTTATTTATCTTTTTTTTCTTTTCTTTTTCAAATCACTTTCTAAATTTCCTAACCAAATATAACATTGAAAAAAAAAATACACAAATATCATGAAATAGAGTAAACACAAAGTGAAACCATATAAAGGTAGGACTGAAAAAAAAAAAATACACAAATATCATGAAAGAGAGTAAACACAAAGTGAAACCATATAAAGGTAGGACTGAAACTGAAAATACTAATAAAGAAAAAGCAAATACCACCAACATAGAATTCTCCCATTTTCACTCCATCTATGTAAGCTGGGACAAGCTTTTAAAAAAAAACAAAAAAACAAAAACAAAAGCAAAACTAAAGAATTCGAAGAAGTTGAAGACCATAAAGCCAAACGGCGTCGTATAATAGTAGTAAGTAGGTTTAGTTGGAATAGAGGCAACCAAAATGATTTATCATCCAAGTGATCGTAGGGTCAAATCCCACAAACGCTAAAAATTCGAAATCTTGAGGCTATTCAAAATTTATCCAGTGGTTAATTTCAGAGTACCGGTTAAAAAAAAAAAAATTTAAAATAGCTTAGCTTCCTAATCTTGATCATCATCATCTTGTTGTTGTTTATATGTTTATCTCGTGAAGCCATGAACAAGGCTTGGGCTGTCTGCGATGTTTCGGTGCCAAGAAAGGAACGGAATGCTGGTGTCGATGTCGCGATCACTGTCGGCGTTGATGAATCTGAATTCGTTTCCGATCGCCGGAGAGAAGCATGGCATTTTTTGGGACTGTTGATGATGATGTTGGTCCCATGAACTGTTGTTTAGCATGCGTTGATGAGAGTCCATTATTGCTGATGCAGCTCCGCCGCTAGCGGTGGTGGTGGTGATGGTGGCGGCGGCTGCAGTTGCAGTTGCTCTCCTTTCTTCCTTCTTGAATCGAATTCCACAAGCATTGCAAAGCGACTGCAATTCACAGTTTCACACACAAGTTAGCTGCATATATAAAAACATGTGAAAAAAATAATTAAAAAATGTATCATTTTTAAAAACATGTCAAATTTATTTCTCTCATTTATTAACTTTTTAAAGACCTTCAACTCGAAAATGTATCATTTCTATCCTTGGAACATTTGTACAAGTTTTATAATTGAGGATAAAAAAATAAATGAGGAAATAAATTAATATCTATTGATAGTTAAGGGGGGGGGAAAGATTAATTATACCAAAATCACCTAACAAATATCAATTTATTTCACTAATTTATGACATTATACATTTTCAGGCTCTTAACTATAAAAATGAATACATAAAAAATAAAAATAAAATGAATCACTTCTATCTTTTGGAATGGGGCATTTCTACAGTTTTCTCATGGTTGAGGATCGAAGTGAAGGTTATAACATGAGGACAAAAATTAATATTCGCTAATAATTTATTGGACAAAAAATAATAATAATTAGAAAACATCAATTTATAAACTACATTTTGACTGTCCCAACTATAAAATACGCATGACTTCAATCCTTTTAAAAGGGTAGTTGCAATCAAAACAAGAGTTCATGAATTGGAGAAATAAAACGATATAAATCATGATAGTGTATAGAGAAGAATGGCAGCAAGTAGTATGGGACCTTAGGGCCTCTTGGACCGTTCCTCCAGAGAGGAGTAGAAGTGGTGTCGCAGTTAGCACAGCGCCGAGCAAGTAGCGAATCACCACCGCCGCTTCCACGGCTGGCCTTGTTGTGAGTTGGCGGCGACGAAGCAGTGTGCTTCTTCGACTGTAGTATGTCCCAACAAAAGCTGGGTATGAGTCGATCATGGTGGTGGACTCGCTTCTCAGCACTCTCACAGCTGCGAGTCGATGGAGTTCCAAGAGAGAGAGTGCAATCAACAGGTGAAGAAGAAGAAGAAGAGGAGGAGGATGTGAATGAATACATATCAGCTTCTTGTTCATCAAAATCCTTTGGGAATAGCATTGAGAATGAATTGCTTTGAGTGTGAAACACACCACATGTACATGGTCCACCTACCATGTTTCCATGAGAACTACTACTGCAACTATTCATCCTCTCTCTCTCTCTCTCTCTCTCTATATATATATATATATATGTATGTATGTATGTATGTATGTATGTATGCAGAGCTTGGAAGAAAAGAGAGAAGATGATATGGGTAGTGAATGAGAAATAGAGATGGTGAGAATATAGTTAGGAGCAGAGAGAGTATAAGCAAATAGTTTAATGAGAGCGATGTGTTATGATACAATGTTTGAATTGAATAGAACTTGGAAGAGGAGAGAGAGGGGTGAGTGAGATAGGAGTTGTCTGGTAGCTTTATAAGCTAATAAAATGGCGAAATAAGAGTCAGCACCTGCAGTCCATGTTGTCGTTAATTGCTAATAAAATGAAGCTTATATGTATACGAATATGGTAAGAGATACAGAATAATTATGGAGTGAGAGAGACAGATGATGGGGACCAAAATTATTTCAGAAAAATTTGATTATTCAATTAGACATACATAGATTAGACCCACTAAATCTTTTTATGAAATCCATCTTATATGTGAGATTAAAGACTACTATAGATTAATATTGTTTCCCTCATTATTTTTTTTTAACTTTGTTGTTTAAAGGATGCATTGCTACATAAATAATATTAAATAATGATTTTTTTTACAAATAAGATATATTGTCTCACATTTATTAATTATGTTTTGCAATTTTCATTGGCCTAGAGGTATATAATGTAAGTATCTAATTTTTTTTTTTTTTGATTTATGACTTGTAATAATATATAAATTAAATTTTCATACACAATAAGGTTTTATTTTTTAATTACAAAAAATATATTATTATATCATTTTGTATAAATTCTCAATGTAATAAATTTGTTTGTAAAATAATTTCAATTGAATACAAGTAATACTGTCATACAGACCAACATGGAGTTGGTTCAATGGTAAGACTTTCGAATCCCTCGCTAAAAGTTTGGATTCGAGGCTCCATAGTCTCTTATTAGGATTAAACATACGTTTTAGCACCTAGAGCACGCGGGGGGTCTAAGCTTAGGCCCCGACGTAGCTGCGGTGGGGTTCTTTGCAGACATGTTGTAAGTGCTAAGGGGCAATATTTCCTGACAAGTATGTAGAGTAGCATATCTACATATCCATTTTGTTGAATCGGAAAAAAATAAAATACAAAAATACTGTGATTCTGGAAAAAGAGATTGTTTATATCACATGTTAAAATGTTGATGTTAAACACCTTTGTTCTTACATAGTATTTTAGTTATTTTAGGAAATTTTTTTTAAGATCCCTAATATTAAGATTTTTACAAGATAAAAAATATATAACATTTTCATAATAATTGGGATCCTTCAATATTTTCACAAAGAAATTTGTCCTGACACAAAGAAATTTTAATTTTCAAAATAAATTTATCTAATTTTACAAAGAAATTTCGAAACAGAGAAATTTTAAAATTTCTTTAATATGATTATAGAGAAAATTTTTCAAAAAACCTTAGCTAATAAAAAAATATATTGGATCTCTTTTACTACCCAAAGTTAGAGATGAATATTTCACTAATTTTTTCATTATTTTATACATTTAAGAGTGAGAAAGTGCACATATCATTATGGTTTATCAAAATTGTAATATTTTAAATACTATAATATGTCCATTTTTTGGGGGGGAGGACATTTCTTGTAGTATATTAAAGGTGGGGAAGGAATATACTTTTGATAAAATTCATATCCTTCTTCTCTCGTAAATAATTATTTACTAATTTTGAGGGTTCAACTAATAATGAAACAGAAATATTGTCGAAATAGGCCAAATACTTTAGAATTATTTAATAACTTGATCTTTTTAAAATATAAAAAAAATGTGAATTAAATAAACAAGCTCTAATTAATTTATCATTGTCAAACCAGTAATTCTACGTATCCATAAAATTTGTCCAAAATTATTCCAAAATATTGTCCAAATGCATTGTAGTTGTAAACCTCACATCATTACATGTTAAATTTAGGGCAAATTACATATACACCCCTCCAGGTTTGACAAAATTACAGATACCCCCTGAGGTTTGAGAAATTACGAATTCCCCCCTGAATGCTATATTTGCATAAGAAATTAGGGGGTAATTTGTTATGAAATATAAACCTCAGGGGGTAAATTGTTATGAAAATACAAACCTCAGGGGGCGGGATGTAATTTCCGAAACCACAGGGGGTATCTGTAATTTAACCAAACTTGAAGGGGTGTATATGTAATTTGCCCTTAAATTTATGGACATTTGTTTTCTAGGTCTATATGTTTTTTCTACTTGTAACAAGGTGAATAGTTGAGAGAAAAAGATGTGGGTAGAGGGAGGGAGATGGGGGATTTGGTCAGGGGGTGGTCAAAAGAGCCCACGTGACTAGGGGGGAGGGGGAGGAACAGTCTTCCATGGATCTGCCTTCTCCGATCACGAGGCAACAACACACATACACGACACTCTCTCTCATCTGAAACCCCTCTCTCTCTCTCCAAACAAATACCATCCAACAAAAAAAACTTGTATCCGTATCCGTATCCCTGCCCCCTTTATGTCACTGCCACCCTCCCAACGAAAATGGAAATACCCCCTCTCTTCTCGCACTCTCCTCCCACTTCACGTTCCATGCACTCTCCCCCTCTCTCTCTCTCTCTCTCTCTCTCTCATGAATAGAATTTTTTTTTTTCCAAAAGAGTTACAAAATAATTATATTAAAAAAAAAACACACGATTAAGGGATTATTTGGAATGGTCTAAATAAATGTACTTTTTATTTTTTTACAAAAAGATATACAGAAAAGTAGAGAGATGATGTGATGAAAAAAAGATAAAAAGATAAAAAGTGTGTACTTATTTAAGATAGCCAAACTTGACCTAAATAATAAATCATACCGAAATTACAACAACCTATAAATTAACCAAAATTGGTTTGGAAAAATCACTAATCTTTTCAAACATGTAGATTGTCCTATGTGTTCGGAAAGTTACATCATGCCATTTTAAATTTTGAATTGACACATTTTGTTAATAAATTATCAAATCAATTAATAATAATGATGTCATAAATATATGTTAATTAACTATGTAGGTAATTTTATAGTTGTGTAGGAGATTAATTAGAAATTTTATTTCTTTTATTAATTCTGTTAAATAAAAATTAATAATAAGAGATATTTGTAAGCAATCTGTATTTTAAAAAAAATTCAGAATGTATATTTATATTTTTTCCAAAAAAATAATTACATATTGACATATATTTTGCTAATATTAATAATTATGATTATAATTTTTTTAATGAATACATAATTATTTTTTTAAAAGTATATTGAATTGTAAATTTTGAAAACAAAATAAGTGGCTTGGAGTTGTGATCTTGTTATGAGTAATTTCAGAGACCCATATATTTAACTTATAGATTTATGCATAATAATGTGGCAAAAGAATGGGACTCTCAATTATTAGGTGTGTAACAAATAAAAAAGGGTAACATTAGATATATCAATTTTTTTACTAAATAAATGATCAAATATCTCACATGAGTATAGGGTCCATATTTTTATAGATCCCACCTCCATATGAGACATTTAATTATTTATTTAGTAAAAAATTTGAAACTTATAACATTTTTCAATAAATAATTGACATTTATCCTGATATGTCATTTTAAATACTGTAAAATTATGGGAATTTTTTAGGGTTTGGAATTTTTTTTTTTTTTTGGTAATTCAAACAATGACCATCCCGTCAGTCACTCCCCGAGAAATTATACTTTGGTGGAGGGGCAGCACAGCACTGTATGGTGCACCTATCTCATTTTCATTGGTTAAGTCCTTTACTTTTAAAAGGCATTATTGTTCAATTATTGGATCATCTATCAATAAAATAATCGTAGAACACCAACTATAGATTTGCACTTCGACCACCCAATAACTTCTCCTCACTCCCTCGTCTACCACTCCGACTCCGTTTAGTTGTCAATAGGCCACCCAATCTCAGTCCATCAATGTAAACACTCTCGCTCACCGAGTGGTTATTGAGTGTTCTGGAACGTGATTATGTGCTGTTTTAAAATATTATGATTGGTAAAAAAAATAAAATTTATAATTTTATATTAAATAATCAAAAAAATATAAAAATATATAATATATAATATAATAATTAAGCTTAAAATATGAACATGATATTTCAAGAATATTTAATAATTTTTCCTTCCTCACCGCTGCATGTCACAACAACGACCAGTTTCAGCTTATTCCAATCACTGGGTCAGGCTGTACCTCAAAATCACGTGAATCTAACATAGGCAATTATATGCATAAAATTATGGCTGGTCACTCACTGGTCACTTCGTCATCATAATCACCTCACGTTCCCCCCAGAATCCAAATTTCAGTCTCACACAAAAAAGCTTTGTTGGCCTACTTGTAAAACCAAATTTGTAGTAGCAGTATTCATAGATTTTGATCATAGAGAGACAAAGAAAAGAAGAGAGAGAGAGAGAGAGAGAGAGAGGAGAAAAAAAGAAAGAAAGTATCATTGAAATGGGATACTACGCAATCATCAAAGCAACAAATATTCTTCTGGTTTAGAGAGCAAATCGATCTCTATGAGTCAAAGATGGAAACTAAAAACTTTAAAAAAATAAAAATAAAAAAAAAAGAAAAAGAAAAAGTACATAAAAATATAAAGAAAAATTAGATATGTTGAGAGGGAAAAGTGAGGCCCCACAAGAGCAGAGGGGAATCATGTGTCAAGCCCGAACAAACTCCTCTGGAATATCAATGATCGATTCGATCAAAATATTCACAAAAAAAAAAAAAAAAAAAAACGAAAGTCAAAAAAAACAGTAAATCAGATCGTATTGAGATTGGTGAGAGAACAGAGATCGGCAAACGGGAACGGAGACCACCGCTTTTCAAAAGATGCTCTCTATTCGCTTTGTAAAACTACAAAACTACTACTCTACTCTACTCTCTGATTTGCCCAAGAAATAAAATGATGGTGGCGTTGAATTAGGTTAAGAATTTTAAATAAATTATTAAGGAGTTATGTTAAGGATTCTAAATAAATTATCAAGTTTTTTATCAAATTTCTCACTGGGTGTGGGACTCACACACATTTGATTTGTGTGGATTCCATACCCATGTGAGAGACTTAGTAAAAAATTTGATAATTTATTTAGGGTCCATAGCATTTTCCATTATTAAGTTTCTTATATGGATATATAATTTGTATGAATCTGATATCTACTTGAAAATTTTAATAAAATATTAATAATCTATTTAGAGTCTATAAAATTTTCCAG